TTGCCCTGGAATTACTCTCATGGCAGTGGTAGGGTTCCAAAAGAATGAGTGAAAATTTGCAAGGTACCTGTAGCCGTAGAATCAAGATTCATGCACTGTTATGTCTGTTACATTCTTTTGGGAAAAGGAAATCACAAGCCCAGTCTCATTAAACAGATTGCATTTCTTAGTAGGGAGCTTGGATACAAGGAAGGAAATAATTTGGGATTTTTTTTTTTAACAGCTTTATTGAGGTACAGTTTATACACCATAAAATTCACCTGTTTTAAATGTATAATTCTGTATTTTTGGTAAATTTTTTTAGTTGTGCAACCATCACCATAATCCAGTTTTAGAACATTTCTATAATGCTAGTAGGGTCCATTGTGCAGTCTACCACATTTTTCAAATGCTGGAAAGATTGCATGAGCTATATCCTCTTCTACTTTATCCCAGCCCAGTTCACTACAGATGAAAAACCTTGCTGGTATTACACTTTAGGATACCAAAGATTTTACCACCAGCCAATGGTATTTCTGCTACCATTGCCAAACAGTTGATCCAGTTCCAGAATCTTGTCCTTGGAGTGTGCTTCCTAGACCCTCTTCTAACACTAACTGTTGTTCAACTTCCTCAGACACAAACCCTGAAATGGAGAGTAGTGTCCAAGTGATTAGTCTGGAATTATTTCCAGGGGATACCAGGAAGGACTGGGGGAAGCAAGATACTGCAGTGCAGGAGAAAATGAGTGAGTGTGATCTCAGACAAAAATCTGATCTCTGACCAGAAAAATGCAGAGTTTAGGCTTCAACCTAATCCCAGAAAGAAAATCTGTTATATACATTTCACCTTAAAACTATTCTAATCCAAGGCAGGGGAGCTTGGCTTCTATACTTCAGCACCTGACCTTACTTTTGATTCTGAGAGTGCAGACAAAGACTCTGGTAGCTTGAGGACAATCTTGTGAAAAGGAACCCTAGGTAGTGGCTATCAAAAAAATTTAAAAAACAACCCAAATAGAAGAACTTGAAAAAGAATAGATACATGTATATGCATAACTAAACCCCTTTGCAGTACACCTGAAAGTAACAAAACGTTGTTAATCACCTATACTCTAATATTAAAAAAAAAAATTAGGGATAAAACCTAAGTTGGTGTGAAAGAGAGGATACAAAAATAAGACTAGAGGGAATCTGGGTGGAGCATCTACATTGTCTGCTTGTAGGCTTTATTCATGATGGATCTCCTAAAATAAGCACTTTAATCAAAGTATGAGCATGTTTCTCAATGGACCCTCTTTACTTAATATAGGTTCAGGTATTTGGGAATAATAGATCAGAGGAATGTGGTCCACTGGAGAAGGGAATGGCAAACCACTTCAATATTGTTGTCTTGAGAACCCTATGAATAGTGTGAAGAGGCAAAAAGATAGGACACTGAAAGATGAACTCCCCAGGTCGGTAGGTGCCCAGTATGCTATTGGAGATCAGTGGAGAAATAACTCCAGAAAGAATGAAGGGATGGAGCCAAAGCAAAAACAACACCCAGTTGTGGATGGGACTGATGATAGAAGCAAGGTTCGATGCTGTAAAGAGCAGTATTGCATAGGAACCTGGAATGTTAGGTCCATGAATCAAGGCAAATTGGAAGTGGTCAGACAGGAGATGACAAGAGTGAACATCAACATTCTAGGAATCATCGAACTAAGATGGACTGGAATGGGTGAATTTAACTCAGATGACCATTGTATCTACTACTGTGGGCAGGAATCCCTTAGAAGAAATGGAGTAGCCATCATAGTCAACAAGAGAGTCTGAAATGCAGTACTTGGGTGCATTCTCAAAAACAACAGAATGATCTCTGTTCGTTTCCAAGGCAAACCATTCAATATCACGGTAATCCAAGCCTATGCCCCGACCACTAATGCTGAAGAAGCTGAACAGTTCTATGAAGACCTACAAGACCTTCTAGAACTAACACCCAAAAAAGATGTCCTTTTCATTATTAGGGGACTGGAATGCAAAAGTAGGAAGTCAAGAAACACCTGGAGTAACAGGCAAATTTGGCCTTGGAGTACAGAGTGAAGCAGGGCAAAGGCTAATAGAGTTCTGCCAAGAGAAGCACTGGTCACAGCAAACACCCTCTTCCAACAACACAAGAGAAGACTACACACTGACATCACCAGTCAGTGATGTCTGGCCTACACCGAAATCAGATTGATTGTATTCTTTGCAGCCAAAGATGGAGAAGCTCTATACAGTCAGCAAAAACAAGACCGGGAGCTGACTGTGACTCAGATCATGAACTCCTTATTGCCAAATTCAGACTTAAATTGAAGAAAGTAGGGAAAATCACTAGACCATTCAGGTATGACCTAAATCAAATCCCTTATGAGTATACAGTGGAAGTGAGAAGTAGATTTAAGGGACTAGATCTGATAGACCGAGTGCCTGATGAACTATGGACAGAAGTTCATGACATTGTATAGGAGACAGGAATCAAGACCATGCCCAAGAAAAAGAAATGCAAAAATGCAAAATGGCTTTCTGAGGAAGCCTTGCAAATAGCTGTGAAAAGAAGGGAAGCAAAAAGCAAAGGAGAAAAGAAAGGATATACCCTTTTTTTTTTTTTAATATATACCCATTTAAATGCAGAGTTCCAAAGAATAGCCAGGAGAGATAAGAAAGCCTTCCTCAGCGATCAATGCAAAGAAATAGAGGAAAACAATAGAATGGGAAAGACTAGAGATCTCTTCAAAAAAAATTAGAGATACCAAGAGAGAACATTTTATGCAAAGATGGGCTCTATAAAGGACAGAAATGGTAGGGACCTAATAGAAGCAGAAGATATTAAGAAGAGGTGGCAAGAATACACAGAAAAACTACAAAAAAGATCTTCATGACCCAGATAATCAGTATGATCACTCACCTAGAGCCAGACATCCTGGAATGTGAAGTCAAGGGGGCCTTAGGAAGCATCACTATGAACAAATCTAGTGGGGGTGATGGAATTCAAGTTGAGCTGTTTAAAAATCCTGAAAGATGATGCTGTGAAAGTGCTGCACTCAATATGCCAGGAAATTTGGGAAACTGAGCAGTGGCCACAGGACTGGAAAAGGTCAGTTTTCATTCCATTCCCAAAGAAAGGCAATGCCAAAGAAAGCTCAAACTACCGCACATTGCACTTATCTCACACGCTAGTAAAGTAATGCTTAAAATTCTCCAAGCCTGGCTTCAGCAATGCATGAACCGTGAACTTCCAGATGTTAAAGCTGGTTTTAGAAAAAGCAGAGGAACCAGAGATCAAATTGCCAACATCCACTGGATCATTGAAAAAACAAGAGAGTTCCAGAAAAACATCTATTTCTGCTTTACTGACTATGCCAAAGCCTTTGACTGTGTGGATCACAATAAACTGTGGAAAATTCTTCAAGAAATGGGAATACCAGACCACCTGACCTGCCTCTTGAGAAACCTGTATGCAGGTCAGGAAGCAACAGTTAGAACTGGACATGGAACAACAGACTGGTTCCATATAGCAAAAGGAGTACGTCAAGGCTGTATATTGTCACCCTGCTTATTTAACTTATATTCAGAGTACATCATGAGAAATGCTGGGCTGGAGGAAGCACAAGCTGGAATCAAGATTGCCAGGAGAAATACAAATAACCTCAGATATGCAGATGACGCCACCCTTATGGTAGAAAGTGAAGAAGAATTAAAGAGCCTCTTGATGAGAGTGAAAGAGGCGAGTGAAAATGTTGGCTTAAAGCTCAACATTCAGAAAACTAAGATCATGGCATTCGGTCCCATCACTTCATGGAAAATAGATGGGGAAACAGTGGCTGACTTTATTTTTCTGGGCTCCAAAATCACAGCAGATGGTGATTGCAGCCATGAAATTAAAAGTCGCTTACTCCTTGGAAAGAAAGTTATGACCAACTCAGATAGCATATTAAAAAGCAGAGACATTGCTTTGTCAACAAAGGTCTGTCTAGTCAAGGCTATGGTTTTTCCAGAGGTCATGTATGGGTGTGAGAGTTGGACTGTAAAGAAAGCTGAGCACAGAAGAATTGATACTTTTGAACTCTGGTGTTGGAGAAGACTCTTGAGAGTCCCTTGGACTGCCAGGAGATCCAACCAGTCTGTCCTAAAGGAGATCAGTCCTGGTTGTTCATTGGAAGGACTGATTTTGAAGCTGCAACTCCAATACTTTGGCCACCTGATGCGAAGAGCTGACTCATTGGAAAAGACCCTGATGCTGGGAAAGATTGAGGGCAGGAGGAGAAGGGGAGACAGAGGATGAGATGGTTGGAAGGCATCACCAACACAATGGACATGGGTTTGGGTGGACTCCGGGAGTTGGTGATGGACAGGGAGGCCTGGTGTGCTGCAGTTCATGGGGTTGCAAAGAGTCCGACACAACTGAGCTACTGAACTGAAGAGATAGGGGGAAGGGGCTTAAGAAATTTTAACTTTGTGTTCATGAACTTAAAAGTAGTTTAGTCACTGTGAGTTGAAATGTTGACATTTAGTAAATAACATTTCAAATTACATAAACTATAAGAACATTTTGGATTTTGTTTATTTTACTTTTAGAGCTATTATCAAGCTCAAATGGTTTGCTTCTTTTTATTATTTTCAATTTTTTTTTAATTTTAATTTTTTCATCTTAGGTCTTAATTGATTCTTTTGCTCTTAGTAGCTGAATCATTTCATCTGGGCTTGCTTTTGGCAAAGAAAACCTATATATTCTTGCTGTCTCTGGTTTGACTTTTTCATAAAGGAACTGCTCTTTCATTTCTGCCTAATTACCAGGGTTTTGGATTGGATTGACTTTTGACTAGGTAATGAAAAGCTTATTTTTATGATTCTCATTTGCATAAGGCTTTAACACCTTGTAGCGTAACTTCCAAGCACATCAATTAATTCAGTAATTGAAATGTAAATTCTAATGACAACTATTTAAAATAAGAATTATATCTTTATACATATATGTTTGAATTAAATTATTAACTATAGGAACAACAAGGCTATGACAGATCCCTCAAGAAAGTATTTAACCAGCAGTAGAGAGAAACAACTGAGTTTGAAACAGTCAGAAGAGAATAGGACATCAGGTAAGTATTTGGTCTTTGCATAATATACTCATTTATGATATGATATATTGTATTAGACTAGAAATAGAAATGTAAACTGGGGCATATTTCTCACATATTTAAGAACACTGGGTAAATTTTGGACTAGTTACCGGGTGCCAGTTTATATCCTGTTTTTGCTGTTTAGTCGCTCAGTGTGTTCAACTCTTTGTGACCCCATGGACTGTAGCCCACCAGGCTCCTCTGTCCATGGTATTTCCCCGGCAGAAATACTGGAGTTGGTTACCATTTCCTTCTCCAGGGGATCTTCCCAACCCAGGGATCAAACCCATGTCCCCTGCGTGGCAGGTGGATATTTTACCACTGAGCCACCTGGGAAGCCCTAATTTGTATCCTAATACTTGGCTAAACTATTTTTTAAAATATTAGAGCTACAAGGGAATTTTTATTTTGCTTACGAGGAATTTAAGCTTTACATCTGCCTATTCAACTACCTAGAATTAGGATTAGAATTAGAATTAGAATTGTCAAAGTACCTGGACCACGGAATGAATCCAAAGAGTTAAAGTTATTGAAATTAAATTATCAGTGTTGCTGGTGGTTAGAAGTTCCAGAAGATCTTGTAATGATCACATAAAGCAGTTATATATGCTCACCTTGTTTTTAATAAAAACTAAAAGATTGTCCCTGAAGTTTTATTGCTGCTTCCTATACTTAGCATAACTCTGGTCCTCTGAACTTCTTAGAGACTCATGTATCTAGTATTGATTTGAATATTGTGTTTAACTTGGAATTGAAGAAAGCTAATAAAATATGGTATGATTTTGGTAATTTGGGAGTTTGAGAGAATTCATTTCATCTGGACTCTAGAAACAGTCTGCTTTAGGGGTTCAGACATATATAAATTGGACTCTGACAGAAAGAGAAAGCTCTAATATAATTCTCACCTTTGAAGTAATAATTCATTATATAAATGCTATTTTTTGGTTTTCAGCTTTTTCAAGCAACCTGTATTAGAAAGGACTTCCCTGGGTAGCTCAGACAGTAAAGCATCTGCCTACAATGCAAGAGACCCGGGTTCCGTCCCTAGGTCGGGAAGATCCTCTGGAGAAGGAAATGGCAACCCACTCTAGTACTCTTGCCTGGAAAATCCCATGGATGGAGGAGTGTGGTAGGCTACAGTCCATGGGGTTGCAAAGAGTCAGACGCAATCGAGCGACGTCACTTTCACTTTCACTATAGTTAGAAAACAGAATACTTAAAGATGTATTAATACTTAATAGATGTATTAATACTTAATACTGTTGAAGTTATGGTACATCTTACAGGTGTTGATGGTGGAAGAGGAGAGAGAGTGGAAAGTATAAGGGGTCAAGTGGTAAAAAGTTTCATGGAACAAAATGTGGAGAGTTTAAATGTGTTAACTTTGCAAAGTTAATCAGTAGAACTCAAATAACACAACTGATGGGGAGTTCCCGAGCAATCCAGTGGTCAGGACTTGGTGCTTTCACTGCTGTTAGCTGGAGTTCAATCCCTGGTCAAGGAACCAAGATCCCACAAGCCACATGATGCAGCCAAAAAATAAATAAAATAATAAAATAACACAACTGATAATTGGTTTGGAGAGAAGAGAAGAGTAGAGGTGGTATAAATGAGAAATTATTTCTGATTTTTCTTGAGGGAGCCAGCTGATGCTGTTTAAAATTAATAAATTGAGAAATTTTATAAACACCTAATGTTATGGAGGAAATCAGAGAAACTGAGTTTCAAAAAATGGTTAGAAATTGGAGAAAAATTTGTGGAGCTTTAGGGCTAGAGAGTATTCTTTTGTAACCTCTTACAAACTTTTTCACAGTATTTTGATCTTCAGACATGCATATGTATGTATTACTTTGATGAAAAGAAAGGGGAAAATAGAGTTAAATATAAACAAGCCCAATGTAATTTTATTATTAAATGAACTTGAATGATTGATTTAGGAATTAAATTTTTCCTGTGTCTGTTCATTTTTTTAGGGCTTCTACCTTTGCAGTCGTCATCTTTTTATGGTAGCAGATCTGCAGCCAAGGACTATTCTCCTGGCAGCACTAACCTAGACAGGTATGCATTGGCTATATGCCTTGTGAAGAACTTGAAGAGCTTTCTTCAGAATATTAAATGATGGGAGGGTCTATGTGTTGTGCTCTACATGAATACACTGATTTACCAACATAGATGAAAATTTACAGATTCATGACATTTTAGTTACAGGATACTCTAGAAGTGTTTTAGTTCAAACTATTACTTTTTATGTTCTTCAACACATGTATAAACCTGATGTCTAGGGAGACTTGTACTGAGGACACAGGTTTGACTGGCAGTGTGATCAGATTTTGACCAGTGTATTTTCCATCCTCCCAAGTAAAGTAATTCTCCACTGAGGCATTTTAAAATTGCCTTTATTGTTTGTTAAGCTACCTACCAGAATTTAAGGTGTTTTCCTAAAAAAGCAAAAAGTTTCACCTTAGTATCTTTTACTGGAAAAGGCCAGTCAGAAATGTAATTGGTGATTCTAGAGATATAGCTCAGATGGTAAAGAATCTGCCTATGATACAGGAGACCTGGGTTTGATCCCTGGGTCAGGAATGTCCCCTGGAAAAGGAAATGGCAACCCATTCCAGTGTTCTTGCCTGGGAGAATTCCATAGACAGAGAAGCCTAGAGAGCTACAGTGTGTAGAGTCACAGAGTCGGACACAACTGAGTGACTGACACACAGAGATTTCGGTTAAATTTTTGAGGTTTATTGAGTATGAATATATAAGACAACTGCTAAGCACTTGTCAAAGAGACGTGTTCATAGAATGCCACACAGAAGGGCAGTTGTGAAAAGTGAGAGTAGTAGTATAAATAGATATGGTACTATATAGCATAATGACCAGTCATAGATAATGACCAGTTAAGCCATATTTTATTTTTTGCTAGAATTTAATTCAGAGTGGTAAAAATATCTAGATTATTTGTGTTAAATGATTAAGGTGAGTTAAATAATTTGATATTATATATTTATATATACTCAGCCTTGGGTGGAATCTGTCAGTCACTTTATAACTGCAGTTGTTAACTCTTTGAATTTAAGAGAGGAAGCTTAATATATTTCTGCTTATTAGAAGAATCTTAAAGGAATCCAAGTTGAAAAAAAAACTAAATTTGGTTTTCAACTGTTTAAATACAATACAGATTTCTTTTCAAAATAATAGAATGAGCATATTCATTGCACATAGGAATTATTGAAGAAATAAAAATATCTTTTAATACAAAACTGCCTTCAAAGATAAGATGAAAATATTCAGACTGGTAAGAAAAATAATGCTGAGTAAAGGCTGAAACCATAAAGCAGGTATAAAACTCAGACTGGAGTCAAGTATTTAGGGCTGGATCTTCAAAACCAGCATGAGATTAGAAACTGAACATGACCCCCAATCAGAACTTGATTTCTTATCTGAAGATACATAAAGCTGGATATCTCGAACTGCCCTCTGTGCTAGTAAGTAAGTGTTAGTCGCTCATTTGTGCCTGACTCTTTGCAACCCCATGGACTGCAGCCCACCAGGCTCCCCCATCCATGAGATTCTCCAAGCAAGGATACTGGAGTGGGTTGCCATTTCCCTCTCCACTGTGCTAGTAAACCAAGCCCAAACACTTCTATGTAACTGCCTGCGTTTGGAACCTTAAATATGCTGCTTACCTAATGCTCCCTCTATTTGTGCTGTCACTTCAGTTGTGTTCAACTCTTTGCAACCCTATGGACTGTAGCCCACCAGGCTCCTTTGTCCATAGGATTTTCCCAGCAAAAATGCTGGAGTGGGTTGCCATTCCCTCCTTCAGGAGCTCTTCCCGACCCAGGGATCGAACTCATGTCTCATGCATTGCAGGCAGTTTCTTTACGACCGAGCCACTGGGGAAGCCTGATCAGAAAGCAAATACCCAGAAATGGGGTTTGCAGTGATTGGTATCTGCTTTAATGTTCCCTATGTAGGGGCAAAAATTCTGAACCCCTGATATACAGTCCTATGCAGATTAGAGGTCTAGACTGAGACAGCTACTAAACAAGCAGAAATGCATGATCATGGGATGTAGCATAGAGAGGAGATAGTAAATGTAAATGAATTTTATTTTAAAAGGTTTACAGAAAATCTATTTCAAAATTCATTAAAAGTCTATGAATTTATAAAAAAGAGATTTATGTAGGGCTTCTTGGTCTACCCTCCATTTTTTTTTTTAACCCTCTATATCTTAATAGCATTTTGGAGAAAAAAAATAGACTATGGAGAATAAAGGAAGGGAATTTGTCAAAGAAATACTGGATGAAAATGATGGAAGTCCACATTGAAAAACCTCAACAAATGCCAAACAGCAGATACATATTTTTTAAATCTACCTTGTAGATGATGGGTAAAGAAATTTTTAAAAGCTGCCAGAAACAAAAATATCATCTATAAAATGAAAACAGACTGACATTAGCAACAGTAGGAACAGATGATATCAAAGAATTACACATCCAGTTAAATTTTAATTCAAGAGTGCAAGGACAGAATTTATTTAGCAAGAAGAAAAGTGAACAAAGGAAGGAGTAGAAGTAAGAAAAATCAGTGAGCAAAAGAATTTTTAAGCATATTAAAAAATTACCTTTAAAATTTATTCTTTTGTAGAAGTAATAAGGGAATATGGTAGAAACTTCAGAAGTTACAGAGTGCATACAGTGAAAAGTAAATCCTAACTCCTACTTGTTCATTTTCTTTCAGGATGCAACTGCTATTACTAATATCTTTCCAGACTTATTATGCATCTAAATATATTTTGATAGTTTTTATAAAAATGATAGGGTTGAAAACAAAAAAATAGCAGAATATTATACCAATAAGAGGTTAAAATAAATGAGTGGAGAAGAGTATGGGAAATTAAAACATTTTAAGTTCCTTATTTTGTTTGAGAGGAGGCCACAGTTAACTTTGTTGTTCAGTCTGTCATTTGTGTCCAACTCTTTGCAGCCCCTGTGGACTTCGGCAAACCAGGCCTCCCTGTCCCTCAACATCTGCTCAAACTCATGTCCATTGAGTCAGTGATGCCATCCCACCATCTTGTCCTCTGTCATCCCCTTCTCCTGCCTTCAATCGTTCCCAGCATCAGGGTCTTTTCTAATGAGTCAGCTCTTTGTCTCAGGTGGCCAAAATATTGGAGTTTAAGCATCAGTCCTTCCAATGAATATTCAGAATTTATTTTCCTGCAAAAGTCATAGCTTTGACGACACCGACCTTTTCAGCAAAGTAATGTCTCTGCTTTTTAATATGCTCTCTAGGTTGGTTGGTCATACCTTTTCTTCTAAGGATCAAGCGTCTTTTTTAATTTCATGGCTGCATTCACCATGTGCAGTGATTTTGGAGCCCAAGAAAATAAAGTCTGTCACAGTTTCCATTGTTTCCCCATCTATTTCCTGTGAGGTGATGGGACTGAATGCCATGATCTTAGTTTTTTGAATGCTGAGTTTTAAGCCAGATTTTTCACTCTCCTTTTTCACCTTTATAAAGAAGCTCTTTAGTTCCTCTTCACTTTCTGCCATAAGGGTGGTGTCACTTGTATATCTGAGGTTATTGCTATTTCTCCTGGCAATCTTGATTTCAGCTCATGCTTCATCCAGCCCAGCATTTCACATGATGTACTCTGCATAGAAGTTAAATAAGCAGGGTGACAATATACAGCCTTGATGTACTCCTTTCCCAATTTGGAACCAGTCTGTTGTTCCATGTCCAGTTCTAACTGTTGCTTCTTGACCTGCATACAGATTTCTCAGGAAGCAGGTCAGGTGGTCTGGTATTCCCGTCTCTTGAAGAATTTTCCACAGTTTGTTGTGATCTACACAGTCAGAGTCTTTGGCAACATCAGTAAAGCAGAAGTAGATTTTTTTTTGGAGCTCTGTTGCTTTTTTGATGATCCAGTGGATGTTGGCAATTTGATCTCTGTTTCTTCTGCTTTTTCTACATCCAACTTGAACATCTGGAAGTTCTAGGGTCATGTACTGTTGAAGCCTGACTTGGAGAATTTTGAGCATTACTTTGCTAGCATGTGAAATAAGTCCAGTTGTGCAGTAGTTTGAACATTCTTTGTCATTGCTCTTCTTTGGGATTTTAATGAAAACTGACCTTTTCCAGTCCTGTGGCCACTGCTGAGTTTTCCAAATTTGCTGGCATATTGAGTGCAGCACTTTCACAGCATCATCTTTTAGGATTTGAATTAGCTCATCTGGAATTCCATCACCTCCACTTGCTTTGTTTGTGGCAATGCTTCCTAAAGGCCATTTGATTTCACATTCCAAGATGTCTGGCTCTAGGTGAGAGATCACACCATCATGGTTATCTGGGTCACGAAGATCTTTTTTGTATAGTTCTTCTGTGTATTCTTGCCACTACTTCTTAGTATCTTCTGCTTCTGTTAGGTCCATACATTTTCTGTCCCTTACTATGCCCATCTTTGTGTGAAATGTTCCCTTAGTAGCTTTAATTTTCTTGAAGAGATCTCTAGTCTTTCCCATTCTGTTGTTTTCCTCTATTTCTTTGCATTGTTCACTTGGGAAGGCTTTCTTATCTCTCCTTACCATTCTTTGGAACTCTGTATTCAGATGGATATATCTTTCCTTTTCTCCTTTGCCTTTTGCTTCTCTTTTTTTCTCAGCTTTGTGTAAGGCTTCCTCAGACAACCATTTTGCCTTTTTGCATTTCTTTTCTTGGGGATGGTTTTGATCACTACCTCGTGTACAATGTCCCGAACCTCTGTCAATAGTTCTTCGGGCACTTTGTCCATCAGATCTAATCCCTGGAATCTATTTGTCATTTCCTCTGTATAATCGTAAGGGATTTGATTTAGGTTATACCTGAATGATCTAGTGGTTTTCCCGATTTTCATCAATTTAAGTCTGAATTTGGCAATAACGAGTTCTTTATCTGAGCCACTCACCTCCCAGTCTTGTCTTGCTGACTATATAGAGCTTCTCCATCTTCGGCTGCAAAGAATATAATCAATCTGATTTCAGTATTGATCATCTGGTGGTGTCCATGTGTAGAGTCGTGTCTTGTGTTGTTGAAAGAGGATGTTTCCTATGACCAGTGCATTCTCTTGGCAAAACTCTGTTAGACTTTGCCCTGCTTCATTTTGTACTCCAAGGCCAAACTTGCCTGTTACTCCAGGTGTCTTTTGACTTCCTGCTTTTGCTTTCCAGTCCCCTATGATGAAAAGGACATATTTGGTGTTAACTTAGACATATTAAAAAGTTAAAGATGACTTCCGCTTCTGTCCAAGATGGACCACATTATCCTCCTTCCTGAAACAAACAAGAACATGGACAAACTATGTGAAACATTGCATCTCAAGACATTGGACATGAATCAGTGAAGGACAGTGATCCCTGAGAGATGGGAAACAAATTAGCCTTACGACTATGTTAGCTTGCTTGGTAGTGGAAGTTTCTAGGTTGACACACAAGGAGGGGGAACCAGGCAGAGCCAGTTCTGTACTCTTCCTGAGTTGAGGAAGTGGTCTAGGAATCTAGGGAATACAAGGTGGCTAGAATTTACAGAGCAGAGTACCAGAAGGGAAAGCTACACAAAGAAGGAATTATAGAGACCTGCAGAGTCCCCCTTGAGTATTCATTTTGAGTGCTGAGCAGCATGTGCAGGTGAGGAGACTGGTCAAGGCCAGGGAAGGAATCACCCTAAAGGATCTAAGTGGATGATACTTAGAGTATACATAAAGCCAGGCATAGTTCCTGTTCCTAATGGCAGTTTGAATACCTGCAAAAAGACTTGCTTCATTAATGAGGATAACTGTCCCTAGACGAATTGCTGCTCTGCTCCCAGATAACAAACCTTAACTGCAACATTGTACTGTTTCTGGGTAACTTAACCACATCCCAGAACAAAATTTAAGACTGTTTATAGAAATTAAAAGTATGCAATACCCCACAAGATAAAATTCACAGTACCTGGCATCCAAAAAAATATTATGAAGTGTACAAAGAAACAGGAGAAAACAACTCATAAGGAAGAGAAAAATTAATAAATACTGACTCAGGAATGACACATATGATAGAATTAGTAGAACAAGGATATTAGGTTATTAACCTAAATTAGTAATGACACTAAATATAAATACACTAAATGTTTCAGTAAAAGACTGGATTTTAAAGGAAGAATAAAAATAATCTATATGCTATTTAAAAGATAACTGCAAAAAAAAAAAATAAAAAAAAAAAAAGATAACTGCAGTATAAGGATGGACAAAAGTTGAAAGCAAAAGGATGAAAATATACGTTTGCTTTGTCCAAACTACAGTGTATGAGAGTACATAGTAAGGAATAAAGCTGATAGAAAGCTAATGATAACTTCAGGGTTGTGATTGGAAAGGGCCACTTGGAGGTTTTTTTACATTAATGGTTCTTATGTGTTTGCTTTATAAAAATATGTTAAGCTCCACACTTTATTTTTAATAAGTTTTTTTAGAACAGTTTTATATTTATAGGAAAGTTGAATAGAAGGTATAGTTTGCCTCATATCCCCCATCCTCACACACGAAACTTTCCTCACTATTGACATCCTGTACAACAGTGTTACACATCAAACTTTTATATACTTTTCTATTTCACAATTTTTTTTTTAAAGTAAAAAACTAAACAGTGGCTAACAGATGTCCTTGGCACATAGTAAGTTGTTCCTTATAAAAAAGTGTATCATATTCCTGTTTTATAGGATGCAAAAAGTAAATGTCCAGGCAGATTAAAGACCTGAATAGAAGGGAAAAGAAGATTTTAAATTTTTAAAAGAATATAGGAAACCATTTTTCTGACCTTACTTTATCGAATGATTCTTTTTTTTTTTCCATTTATTTTTATTAGTTGGAGGCTTAGAATGATTCTTAAGACAGAAATTGAAACCATAAATACAGATTGATACATTCAACTTAGGTAATAATGAGGAAATTATAAAATAACAATGAAATCATGTTCCATTCATTAGAGGGATAATATTGTAACGGAAATGGCACCCCACTCCTGTACTCTTGCCTGGAAAATCCCATGGACGGAGGAGCCTGGTAGGCTGCAGTCCATGGGGTCGCGAAGAGTTGGACATGACTGAGCGACTTCACTTTCACTTTTCACTTTTATGCATTGGAGAAGGAAATGGCAACCTACTCCAGTGTTCTTGCCTGGAGAATCCCAGGGGTGGGGTCGCACAGAGTCAGACACGACTGAGGTGACTTAGCAGCTTAGCAGCATTGTAATGGAGACTATGTGAAAAGGGGAAATTCTCTATTGGTGGAAATATAAATTGGTACAGCATTTTTGGGAAACAGTCATTAGCTAAGAAAATTGAAAATATTCCTAACATTTTCACTGCTAAGCATATAAATTAGAGTAAGTTCTCAAGGACATTGGGTACGAATATTTGTTGCATAATAGTGAAAAGAGTTCACTGCCTAAAGGTTTTCAAGATTAGGTAAACTGATGTATGATAGCCATCAAGTGGATAAAAGTGAATAAAAAAGTAAAATTATGTTTTTTCTCAAGCCATTAACTTGACTTATTTTGATTGCACATTACCATACTATTTGCCTCTTCAGCTCCCTATCACCAGATTTGCTAATTTACATTTGTGAAATTTTTTTCCCAAGTGATCATTAAAACTGATATTTCCTTAAATTTAGGATATTTTTTTCCCCGTAGACAGTGACTTTTCTGAATCTAGTAGGGGAAGAAAGCAGCATTCAAATTTGTTTTGTTTCTTCGTTATTTTTTCTTTTTCATAGGACTAATATTTCAAGCCAAACTCCGTCTGCCAAAAGAAGTTTGGGATTTCTTCCTCAGCCAGCTCCTCTTTCTGTTAAAAAACTGAGGTGTAACCAGGATTACACTGGCTGGAACAAGCCAAGAGTGCCCTTTTCCTCTTACCAACAGCAGCAACTGCAAGGGTAGGTAAATTATTTTATTTTGCTTTATTTTTATAAAGTGATTCAACTGAAGTATGTTTTACTTGGTATGTGTTCATGCTAAATCTCTTCAGCATGTCCGACTCTTTGTGTCCTCGTGGACTGTAACCCACCAGGATCCTTTGTCCGTGGGGGTTCTCCAAACAAGAATACTGGAGTGGGTTGCCATACCCTCCTTCAGGGGATCTTCCCAACCCAGAGATCAAACCCACATCTCTTACATCTCCTATATTGGCAGACCAGTTCTTTACCACTAGCACCACCTAGGAAGTCCTTTTACTTGGTATACAAGATGATTAAAAGAGTCATTAATTATAGTTCTCAAATATTTTTCATTTACTAAAGATTTATCATGTCCATAAAGTTCAGTTCATTATCTGGTCTCTAATTTTTGGACCTTGAAAACAAAATTGCGTGTGTGTGTTTCTGTGTAAATGTATATATATATATAAAAAACATCATAAAGCAGAAAATGTGTATTCTTAAATCTCATATACTTCATCCATCTCTGTAGATACTTCAGTATTAATTTTATTTTTATCTTTCCCAGCCCCTTCATGCTTATATTTTTAATAACCATACAGAAATGAGATCATGGTATAATAGCTATAATAATGATATCAATCATAGCTGAAGTGTTTGTTATGTGCCAGAAACTGTGTTTCAATGAATTTTTTCTTTAAATTCTCACAGTAGCTCTCTGAGCTAGATGTATTAAAAAATCTGTTTTTGTAGATTAAGGAATTACGACTTGGGCTTCCCTGGTAGCTCAGCTGGCAAAGAATCCACCTGCAATGCAGGAGATCCCGGATCAATTACTGGGTCGGGGAAATTCCCTGGAGAAGGGATAGGCGACCCGTTCCAGTATTCTTGGTCTTCCCTGGTGACTCAGATGGTAAAGAATCTGCCTACAGGCCAGGAGATCTGGGTTCGAGACCTGAGTTTGATCCCTCAGTTGGGAAGATCCCCTGGGGGAGGGCATGACAACTCTCTCCAATATTCTTACCTGGAGAATCCCATGGACAGAGGAGCCTGGTGGGCTACTGTACATGAAGTTGCAGAGTCAGATGTGACTGAGCACCTATACACAGCACAGCACAACTAAGGCTTAGAGGAATTAATTAACTTACTTGAGGTATTTAATACACTAATAGTGGATCTAAGCAGTTGGAGCCCTCTTGCACTTTTTTCCTTCCAGCTTTATTACAGTATAGTTGAAATACAGCACTGTATAAGTTTAAATTGTACAGCATAATAATGTGACTCATATGTATCATGAAATGATTACCATAGTGAGTTTAGTGACTATCAATCATCTTATATAAATATAAAAGAAAAAAAATGTTTAATTGAAGTATAGTTGATTTACAGTGTTGTGTTAATTTCTGCTATACAGCATAATGATTCAGTTATACATGTTTAAAATTTTCTTTTCCATATGGTTTATCATAGGATATTGAATAGCTCCCTGTGCTATACAGTAGGACCTTGCTGTTTATCCTTTCTGTGTGTAATAGCTTAGATCTGCTGACCCCAACCTCCACCTCTATCCCTCCCCCATGGCAACCATCAGACATTGTTTATGACCTTGACTCTTGTTTCATAGGTAGGTTCATTTGTGGCATATTTTCAATTCCACATATGAGGGATATTATATGGCATTTGTCTTTCCCTTTCTGATTTACTTAGTGTGATAATCTCTAGTTGCATCTGTGTTGCTGCCTATAGCATTATTTAATTCTTTTTTATGGCCAAGTAATATTCACACACACACACACACAGAGGACATCTTCCCTATCCATTCATCTGTCAGTAGACGTTGGGTTTGTTTCCATGTCTTGGCTATTGTGAATAGTGCTGCTGTGAACCTAGGGCTGCATGTATATTTTTTAATTATAGTTTTGTCTATATATATGCCCAGGAGTAGGATTGCTGGATCATATGATAATTCTACTACCACCACCATCCATTAAGGAAAGTGCACTTTGTTAAACTGATGGAAGAGGATGTGCTTGAATTTGTCACCAGATCCACAAAATGAATACAAATGTTAAAAAACAAGCCACCTCTGTACAGACAAGAAGTGAAAAACAGAAAACATGAATCAAAATATTTAGTCCAGTAAAAATTCTACCACAAAAACCAATATGAACTGCAAGAAAATTGTTATATAGCACTTAAAACCGAATGAAATATCCTCAAATAAGCATTTTAAAATATGAAAAAAAGCAACATAAATCAATAATTCAGACCCAGAATCAGAAAGGACCAGCAGGAAGAAATGACAGCTGCTTGAACACAAAAGAGAGAGAGAGGAAGAAAGGCAACATCGTATCAAAAATTAAGTCTAAACAAAAGTTCCCCAAGGGAAAATAAGTTCAAGTGAAAATTTAATAGGAGACTTTGAAGGAAAAAACAAGGAGGAAAATGAGATAAGTATAAGCGATCAGAGAGGAAGTGGATGAATTGGAAAACAGGCAAGGAAAGTCCCATGGTACATATAATTAGAATCTCTGAAGAAAAAAAATCCTAACAGTGAAACAGAACTAGTATTTACAACCATAACCCAAGAAAACTTTGAAATAAAATTTTCAGAAATAAAAATTACTGAATCTATATATTCAAAGAGCCCTCCAAGTACCTGGAAAATTGAATGAACAAGACACATCTTAGTACAAGTTTTAGACTTTAAAGATGAGGAAAAATACTCAGTGCCTTGAGTCAAAAGATGAAATAATTTGTGAGGGAAAGAGGAGTAGACTTCTCAGTCATCATTCAAAGCGGATGAAAAAGGAACATCATTTTCAAGAAACTTGATGAAAGAAAGCATAAACAGACATGCTAATCTAAGCTTTCAGGTATGTGGGCTAGGGGGAAAAAGTTTTAAAGTGGAAGAACTTAAAAAAAAAAAAAGTGGAAGAACTTGGAATAATTACACATAAGCTCTTCCTGAGGACTCTATAGGGTATGAGCTTCATCCAGCCAAGAGGTAATGAAGGAGATACTGGCAAAAGATAGATGGTGAATATTTCATATATTCAGTTATAGAGATAAGACTAAAACAATGGTGGAAACACCAGTATATAAGGATGACATATAGATATTATGTCTTTTGACAAAGGAGTATGATTGTAACTAAAAATGGAAGGAGAGAGAAAGAAAAGTAGAATAAATAAATTGACTGAAATCAGTAGTAAGTGCAAGTCAAAAAGTACTCTTTAAAATGGACAGATTAGATAATAAAAAAAAAAGAATTATGAGCACTATAAAAAGTACAATAACCACTTTAAAAAAAATTTTTTTTTAATCAAGAGATATTTCTAAAACACCAGATGAATAAATAAAATATTGCATTGTGACACAGTTGAGTCCAAATATATTTGTCACATCAAGAAATGTAAATGGGCTGACACATCTAATAGAAAAATATTTTCAAATTAGCTCAGAAAGCAAAACCAACTCTATGCTGTATACTAGAGATATACCTAGAACAGTGATTTTTAAAGTTGTAAAATAAAGGGAGGGAAAGCAGTTTGGCTGTGTAATGGAAACAGTTAAGAAACCAGAGGTTGCAGTCCTAATAGCTGATAAAATAGAATATTTAAGAACATAAAAGATCTAAACAACATAATCAGATAGATCTGTGGAAAACAGTAAATGCCATACTCCGATCATAGAGTATAGACCTTTTCAAGCACATACGGAGCATTCACAGAAAGTAATCATATGTTAGGGCACAAAGGAAAAATCAGGAGACACCCCATAAAGTAGAAATGGGACAACCACCATCTTTTGATCACAGTGAAATGAAACTGGATAATAAACATGAAACTGAATATTAAAAATGTAACTTCCAACTAGAAATCCTAAAAACCCTTTAAGTGACCCTTGGGTCAAACACAAATAACAGATGTTCTGAAGATTAATGATAATGAAAACCCTGTTTATCAATATCTGTGGGTTACATTTACAGCAGTGATCAGAGAAAAATTAGTCCTAGACACCTGTTATCAATACAAATGAAAGGATGAAAATATGAATTCCAAGCTCAAAATGAGCAAACAGTATAAAAGAACAAAATAATCCAAAAGGAAACGAAAGCAAGGAAATAATAAAGATAAAAGTTAGAATTGCATGTAACAAAGAGCTGAAAAATAGATTAACACATTATTAACCAGAGACATATTAATGCCACAGATTTTTGTTTCTGCAAAAATCACCTGATCAGTAACAAAGTATAAAAAAAGTTCATGAAGTAGATATATCATTAACCTTTTATCTTTTAGTCAAGATAAAAAGGGAAGAAATACATAAAATGTGATAAGGGAGAATTACTAATGTAGAGGAAATTTTAGAAATAATTGGAGACAATTTCATATTTCTCTTAAAAGAATTAGAAAACTTAAATGGACATAATTGTTTTAGAAAAGACATCAATAGTTTATTTAAATTGATCTCAGTAAAGGTTAAAAAATACTTTCACCAGTTTCCATAGAAGGAAAAATAAGCCTATCAAGGTGCTCCCACTGATAGAAGAAATTCATAGAAACCGTTCCTGGGAAAGCATAGACATTAGTTTAAAAGACAAAATTTTAAAAGCAACTAGAGGGGGAAAAATAGAGTTGTAAAAATAATAGCTGGAGACATCAATACTTCACTTCAGTAATGTATAGAACATATAAACAGAAAAGTCGGTAAGGAAATACAGGAGTTGACCAATACTGTGAACTGCTTAGATCTAACTAGTACATTCAGTTGGTGCAAAAGTAATTGCAGTTTTGCATTGTTGAACTTTGTCGTTTGATATTTGAATACATTCTTAAATGTGGTTATGTTATACATCATTTTAATGCACATTTCTTGCTTTATGTTTTGCTGTTTATTTCCTACGTATTTTAGATTAGGGAAATGATGTTAGACAAAAAGCAAATTCAAGCAATTTTCTTACAAGTTCAAATGGGTCATAAAGCAGTGGAGACAACTCACAACATCAACAATTCATTTGGCCCAGGAACTGCTAACGAGAGTACAGTGCAATGGTGGTTCAAGATGAGGAGTGCAGTGGTCGGCCATCGAAAGGTGACCACAACCAGTTGATCCTCTTAAAACTGTTCGACCATTCTACAGTCATTTGGCATTTGCAGCAAATTAGAAAGGTGGAAAAGCTTGGTAGAGGGTACCTCATGAGCTGACTGAAAATCAAATCATCATTTTGAAGTGTCATCTTCTCTTAGTCTACCCTACAATGAGCCGTTTCTCAATTGGATTGTGACTTGTGATGTAAAGTGGATTTTATACAACAACCTGCAATGACTAGCTCAACGGTTGGGCCTAGGAGAAGCTCCAGAGCACTTCCCAGAGCCAAACTTGCATCACAAAAAAGATGATGGTCACTGTCTGGTGATCTGCTGCCAGTCTGATCCACTATAGCTTTCTGAATCCTGGCAAGACCATTACATCTGAGAATTACGCTCAGCGAATCAATGAGATGTATTGAAAACTGCAGTGCCTTCGGTCGTCATTGGTCAACAGGAAGGGCCCAATTCTTCTCCACGACAATGCCCCACCATACGTCACACAGCCAACGCTTCAAAAGTTGAACGAGTTGGGCTACGAAGTTTTGCTCATCTGCCATATTCACCTGACATCTAACCAACCAACTACGACTTCCTCAAGTATCTCGACAACAACTTGCAGAGAAAACACTTCCACAATAAGCAGGAGGCAGAAATTGCTTTCCAAGAGGTCGTCAAATCCCAAAGCACAGATTTTTACATTACAGGAATAAACAGACTTATTTCTTATTGGCAAACATGTGTTGATTGTAATGGTTCCTATTTTGATTAATACAGGTGTTTGAGCCTAGTTATTTAAAATTCACAGTCCAAAACTGCAGTTACGTTTACACCAACCTAATAGAACACTCCACCCAACGGCAGAATATGCATTCTTCTCACATGCACATGAAACATTTTCTAGTAGAAACCCTGTTAGGCCATATAGTAAGTGTCAATACATTTTAAAAGATACAAATCATACAGAGTATCTTCTGCAGTCACAATAGAATGAAGTTAGAAATAAGTAAAAAAAAATTGGAAATACGTGAAAATTAAACAGAATACTCTTAAACAACCAGTGAGTCAAAGAATAAAATCACAAGAGAAATTAAAAATTACTTGAAGACAAATGAAGCCTAAAACAGCATACCAGAACTAATGAGATATGGCAAAAACAGTACTCCTAGGGAGATTTCTAGCAGCAAGTGCCTGGAGTAAAAAAAGTGTTTATGAGAATGTGGAGAAATTAGAACCCTTGTACATTGCTAGTGGGAATGTAAAATGGTGCAGCTGTTAATGGAAAATAGTATGACAGTTCTTCAAAGAATTAAGAGTAGACTTACCATATGATCCAGCACATATATCTGAAATAATTTAGAGCTGTGACATGAAGAGGTGTTTGTACATCCATATTAACAACAGCTTATAAACAATAGTCAAAAGGTGGAAGCAGCCTAAGTGTCTACCAATGAATGAGTAGATCAGCAAAATGTGTTATTAATGTATATATACAATGGAAAAATACTGTTCATCCTTAAATAGGAAAGAAATTCTGACACATGCTACAATGTGAATGAACCTTGAACCTACTCATTATGCTAGGTGAAATCAGTCACCACAGGGCAAACACTGTATGATTCCACTTAAATGAATTACTAGAGTAGTCAGTTCGTAGGATCGGAAAGTAGAATGGTGGTTGCCAGAGAAAGGGGAATGAAGAATTACTGTTTAATAGGTACAGAGTTTCAGTTTGGGAAGATGAAAAACTTCTGGAGATGAATGGTGGTGAATGTACTTAATGCCTTGTAAGCTGTATACTTAATGGTTTTTTTGGTAAATTTTATGTTTTATGTATTTTACTATGATTTTTTTTAAATGACCTCAAATCGGTAACCTAACTTTACACCTTGAGGAACTAGAAAAAGAATAGCAAATGAAGCCAAAATTTAGCTGAAGAAAGAGAATAATAAAGATTAGAGCAGAGATAAACAGAATGGAGAGTAGAAAAATAATACAGAAAACCAAAAGTTACTTCCTTGAAAAGATCCAGAAAATTGACAGATCTTTAGATAAACAGGCAAAGATAAAAGAATGAAGACTCAAATCACTAAAATAAAAAATGAAAGTACATTGCACCAACATTACTAAGATAAAAAGGATTATAAGAGAATATCCAACAAATTTGATAACTAGGTGAAAGGGTCAAAATCCTGGAAGGAATGGAAAATTGTGAGGTTGTGGGGGAAAAAATGTAAAAAAAAGTAAGAAGTAGGTGTATGAAATTAAAACCAAAGTGAGGTATCACTTTATACCCACTAATATGGCTGTAATTTAGAAAGAAACAGAAAAAAACCCTGAAAATAACAAAGGGTATCTTGGTAAGTTAGAAAAGACCACATTGCTGAGTAGTATACAGTAGTATACTACCTTTGTGTAAGAAAGAAGGGGAAATAAGAAAAAACATGTATCTTTGCTTATGTGTGTGTATATATATAGATTTAAAATACTGTATAAAATATACAATATATTCAGTATTTTAAGTATAGAAGTATATTTTATTTTAAATTATAAAAGTAATATGTTTTATATTAAATATAAGATAGATAATTCTTTTTTGATATTTCATGTTGCTCTATCTTCAGATTCATTATTTCCTTCAGTGTTTAATTTGCTATTAATTTCATTCAATAAAATTTCATTTCAAATATTTTTTTCATCTCTTGAAATTCAGTTTTTAATATCTTCCATTTCTTTCCTTAGTGTTTTTGTTTTACTTCACATCCTTGATCAACATACTTGATCACATACATCCTTGATCACATATTTCACATCCTTGAAGCATATTTATAATAGCTGTTTTAATATCCCTGTCTGCAGTTGGGTTTGTTTCGGCATTTGTGTTTAACCTCTTTGGGGTCAAATCTTAAATGACCTTTATTCTAAGGCTGATTTAATTCCTTTCTTGAAGCATAGGCCTTCTGTGGTCTCTACTAATGCTCCATGAATTCATCTATGTCTCTCTACTCTGTTGGGAACCTAAAAACTCTTAGATTCTGCATGAGCTCTGGAAAGTGTTTGGCTAATAGCTTCCCAGTAATCATCCTTTTCCTTGAAGTTCTTCTTCCATGCCATCTCGGGGTTTCACCTTATGCATGCACAAGTTAGTTTTTCAGTCTAATGCTCTAGCAGACCCCTGTGCAGATTTCTGTAGCTCCTCCTCTGTACAGTTCCTTTCTCCCAGATTCTCTGTCCCAGAAACCTTAACAGCTTCAGCATCTCAAACTCCAGTTTCTTTCAACTCAACTCAGCAAGATTTCTGGGCTCTGTTTGGGTACCACGCCCTGAACTCCCCTGAACTCCAGTTCACCAATTGCCTCCAGGCTGAAACCCTGCATAAATGGTAGGGCTGATAGCATTTGCTTGCCTTCTCTTAAGGATTGCAGTCCTGTGCTGACTGTTGTCCAGTTTTTCTTTGTGTGATATTCCAGATCCTGATACTTTCTCACAGTCTGAAGTGGAAGTTTTTAAGGGTGTTTAAAGTTGACATCACTGATGAGCAACACAGAATTATCATGTGCCTCTGAATGTGATGCCCTTGGAAGGACACAGTAGCACTATGTATCACTATGTGGACTTCAGTCTGAGCTGACCTTATCATAAGGAAATAGCAAACCCAATATGAGGAACATTCCATTAACCAGGGTGGATGGGGCGCATGGTGTGGGGAGCAGAGGGGTGAGCTGCATTCTGCACAAATGTCAGTGTCTTGAAAGTAAAAACTGAAGAATCGTTCCAGATTAAGGAAAACTGAATTTTGCATTATGTTATCCTGGACTGAATTTCGTGCTTAGGGAAAAAAAGTACATAAAGAAACATTGGGTCAATTGTTATGAGATATATCCTAGAGCTAAATGGCTATGATCTATGCAACTTATCCTCAAATGGGTCAGGAAAAATATATAGGGAGATGTGTTAAATGATAAAGCATATAGTATAAAAGGGTTAACAAATTAGTGAATCTGGGTAAAAAATATTTTTCTGTGCAACTTTTCTGAAAGTTTGAGAAAGTTTACAAATAAAAGTTTTTTTCAAACTTTGGAAAAAAAACAATGTACTTTGGAATAATATTTGACAGTGCCCATTAAGCATACATATGTTCTAAGTCCCCAGTCCTTTTTAGCTTTCATTTGAAAACAGAATTTTCCTTGAGTTGAAACTAAAGTGTAATAATGTTATACTGTGGTGGTTCTCTAAGTGTGGTCTCCATACCAGCAGCGTCAGTGTCAACTGAGACCCTTTTAGACACGCACATTTTTGCACTTTTCCTGTCCAGACCTACAGAATCAGAAATTCTGGAGTTGGGGCCCAGCAGTATGTAGTTTAACAAGCCTTCCAGGTGATTCTGATGCATGCTATAGTGGAGGACCCCTGCTCAAGTGAACATACTTTAGGAACTACTGTTGTCTTCAAAAGTACCATTTCTTTCATTTTCAGCTTCTCCAATTTGGGAAATACCTGCTATATGAATGCTATTTTACAATCTCTATTTTCACTCCAGTCATTTGCAAATGACTTGCTCAAGCAAGGTATCCCATGGAAGAAAATTCCACTCAATGCACTTATCAGGTAATTGTTTTATACTTACTGAGTAACTTCTTAACTATCGATTATAGAATAATGGTGTTTTAGATACTTAAAATTTTATGTGCCATTGTTAGCAGTCCTTAAAATATACCTTCAGTGTTTTGTAAAACCTGCTAAACTTGTCTCTTTTGTTTTATCAGACGCTTTGCACACTTGCTTGTTAAAAAAGATATCTGTAATTCAGAGACCAAAAAAGACTTACTCAAGAAGGTTAAAAATGCCATTTCAGCTACAGCAGAGAGATTCTCTGGTTATATGCAGAATGTGAGTACTAATTGTTTTTAAACACCGTAGAGATTGGGAAAATAGAAATGATTTTAGTGTGTTACCCAATTTATTTTATCTTATTATTTTATTGTTTATCTATTTTTGGCTGTGTTGGGTGTCTGTTGTGGTACATAGGTTCTTTGTTGCTGCGTGTGGGCTTTCTCTAGTTATGGCAAACAGGGGCTACTCTATAGTTGAAGTACGCAGGCTTCCCATTGTGATGGCTTCTCTTATTGTGGAGCACGGGCTCTCTAGCACAGGCTCGATAGATGTGATGCACGGACTTAAGTTTTCCCACGGCATGTGTGACCTTAGTTCCCAAGGCCAGGGGTTGTTCATCTCCCCTGCATCGGCAGGCAGATTCTTAACCCTGGGACCACAAAGGAAGTCCCAGTTTTATTTTAAAATGAGATTTGTGTATATGTGTTCGTCACAGGTTGGAGGACTTCCAGTAAGGTTCAATATGACTCTCTGTATTTTTTTTAATAATATAGATGTGATTTGCCCCAATGTAGGACCTTAGACTATTTTAGTTACAAAGACTATTTTAGAAAAATCACTCTTTTTTAAAAAACAAATGAAGGAATGATTCACTTTATTAGTCATGCTAATCTAACTTATAGTTAGGAACGTAAAATCTGTCATTTGTTGTCGTTTTTCGCAGAATATGTACCCTGGAGCACTAGAGTAAATCTGACCTTTTTCCACACATTATTGACTTTCAAGTGCTTTAGTTTTATAGATCACAATGTTACTAACCTATTATTGTAGCAAGAAATGGTTTGATCTGATTTAAGGATATTATACCTTCTTAGGATGCTCATGAATTTTTAAGTCAGTGCTTAGACCAGCTGAAAGAGGATATGGAAAAATTAAATAAAACTTGGAAGACTGAACCTGTTCCTGGAGAAGAAAGTTCACCAGATATTTCAGCTACTAAAGTATACACTTGCCCTGTTATTACTAATCTGGAGTTTGAAGTTCAGCACTCCATCATCTGTAAAGCGTAAGTAATCTCTAAAAAAAAACCTCTTTTCCCTTTTAATTCCTTATGGCAAGTAACTGAAACTCTTCTCTGAGAGTGTTAATCGCTCAGTCATGTTCGACTCTTTGCAACCCCATGGACTGGGACTGTAGCCTGCTAGACTTCTCTGTCCAAACTCTTCTGCTGCTAAGTCACTTCAGTTGTGTCCAACTCTGTGCGACCCCATAGACGGCAGCCCACCAGGCTCCCCCGTCCCTGGGATTCTCCAGGCAAGAACACTGGAGTGGGTTGCCATTTCCTCCTCCAGCGCATGAAAGTGAAAATTGAAAGTGAAGTCGCTCAGTCATGTCCGACCCTTAGTGACCTCGACTGCAGCCTACCAGGCTCCTCCGTCCATGGGATTTTCCAGGCAAGAGTCCTGGAGTGGGGTGCCGTTGCCTTCTCCACCAAACTCTTCTAGAAGGTTGTAATTCTTATCTTCATTCCTGTGTCATGGGGAAACATGAGCATAAATATCTTTGTTCATTATCTTTATCCTCTATGAAAATGCTTGGTGGGGTGAGAACTAAAGCAAACTTAAATAGTTCGTTAAATGCTTTAGTGCTGATCGAATGGTTAATTTTGCTCTAGTTTCTGTGTGTGCCCATGTCCTGAAATGACCCCCTCTTATTAGTTTATTTTGTTGAACCAAATTGTTTTTATTAAAAATGTGTTTTCTATAAAATACTTTATGAATTATTTTTAATTTTTGCAATGCTTTTTAATCTTGTTTATACATGGCGGTTTCCCTGGTGCCTCAGTCAGTAAAGAATCTGCCTGCAATGCAAAAGACGTGGGTTCACTCCCTCCAAATCCTCTGGAGGAGGGCATGGCAACCCACTGTAGTATTTTTGCCTAGAAAATCCCATGGACAGAGGAGCCTGGTGGGCTACAGTCCATAGGGTCGCAAAGAGTCGGACACGACTGAAACAACTGAACACGCACGCACAGTTCCCAGACCAGAGAGCCAACAAAGTAAGTACCGATCCCAGGATAGGAGACTACGGATGTCCAGCTCTAGTAGTTAGGCAGAGAGAGCAAATTCTCTCTTTCTGTTTATATTAATTATTTTTAAAATAATTTTATTTATTGTTGACTGTGCTGGGTCTTCATTGCTGCACAGACTTTTTTATAATTGTGGAGAGCAGGGATTACTCTCCAATTGTGATGCATGGGCTTCTCATTGCAGTGACTTCTCTTGTTGTGGAGCATGAGCTGTAGAGTGCGTGGACTTCAGTAGCTGGGGCATAAGAACTCAAGTCATTGTGTCTCCCTCCCAGGCTCTAGAGTACAGGCTCAGTAGTTGAGGCACACTGGCTTAGGGGCATGTGGAGTTTTGGAAAATAAAAAAAATTAAAATTCAGCATTTATCTCTCATGCCTGCATACATATTTGCTCAGTCACTTTAACCATGCCCGACTCTCTGTGACCCTGTGGACTGTACCCGCCAGGCTACTCTGTCCATGGGATTCTCCAGGCAAGAATACTGGAGTGAGTTGCCATGCCCTCCTCCAGGGGATCTTCCCAACCCAGGGATCGAACGCAAGTCTCTCATGTCTCCTGCATTGACAAGTAGGTTCTTTACCACTAGCGTGACACTTTAAGCTCCTTCTCGTGCCTAGTCATGAGAAATTCTTTGGGGGAACACTGTTTCTGAAGTATATTTTTATTTAGTATTGCATAGTTAGGCTTCTGAATTCTTAACATTTGTCTTCTTTTATTCTTCCAGATGTGGAGAAATTATTCCCAAAAGAGAACAGTTTAATGACCTCTCCATTGATCTTCCTCGAAGGAAAAAGCCACTCCCTCCTCGTTCAATTCAAGATTCCCTTGATCTTTTCTTTAGAGTAAATACAGTCTTTTGGTATTTTCACATAACTGAATTTTATGTATCATAGGTAACTGTATTTGAAGTTGCTTTCTTTAAGGCAGAGTTTGACAAAACACTTGCAGGGGAAACAAATGAGAAGTATTTATAAGTAGTATTTATTTTTAAAAGCTTAATAGATATGGTTGTTAACTGACTGTAGAAGAAAATTCATTGCTCAAGTGGATTATACATCTAACTCAACAGCTAGTGTTTTAGGCAACCTTAGAAACAAATAATACAGAGTGACGCATGCTAAAATTGGGTAATGCCAATCAAAATTGGAGGCACTAAGCTAGTATATTAAGATCTTAGGAATGAAAAAATACTCTGCTTTTCTTTAGGTTATATGTACCTTGTTAGAAACAGAAAGGGGGAGTCATGTTTGTTTTAGAGCTGTAGAGCTATAGATAAATATTTGCATATATGATACACTGCTATAGATATTCTGAAATTTTCTGGGACATAATTGAACTGTTGTAGTAGTCCTTATAATTGATGGAAATCTGCCAGGATCACCTTTAGTCTATATAATAGTGGTTCTTGTTTTGTTGTAGCAGATAGGCAGGGTTATCACTCTTAAGAGTCAAAAACAAAAAAACCTCTGTTCTTGAAATGATGAAAATTCAGCTCCACTCAAATACTCTGTTTTTCTTTTCTTATATCATTCCTTACTATTCCTGTTGTTATCATAGAATTTGAATCTTTTCCTGTGTATCTTTACCCCCGATTTTTTAAGGATTTCTTGTTTCAGTTTTCTCTAGGTAATGGTATCTGCCCCAAACTTTGGTCCTTTTAGAGCAGTTGTTCTTAGTGGGCTGTTACCAGAAGATTGAGTTCCATTATAAGAAAGGGGTAGAGTTACACCTAACAGACCAGGAACTCCGCCTAACCTGAAGGTGATCTTATCTCTGCTATGGCCAAATGTTAAAATCTGGATATACTCTTAGGAGTGGTTCTTGTGTATCCATGGGGAAAAGGTATCCATGGGGAATCTGCTACTGTGGTTACTATCATAAATTCAGCTGTTACCGTGGTTAAAAAAGGGAAATTAGAAATTGTGAAACAGGGCATGATGTTACACTATATGTTGAGGATTAGGTCTTAATTTAGTAAGGTTTGTGATTCTGGACACAAAATTTAAACTGGTTGGAGTTGGGGCAGTGCTAATTCATCTTCATGCTGCTTTATTTTTCCCTCTTGTCTTTTTAACAGGCAGAAGAACTTGAGTATTCCTGTGAGAAATGCGGTGGGAAGTGTGCTCTTGTCAGGCACAAATTTAACAGGCTACCCAGGTAAGATTAATTGTCTCTTCACTTTTTCTTCTTTAAAGTACTGAAAAGTATTAGTGAATAAGTGAGGCTTATAAGATGGATTGGTAAAGAAGGTTAGCAAAGCTAAGATATGAAGAGGGTAGAGAATGGAAAGCTAGAATTCCCTTGTATCAGAAAGGAAGAGAATTTGGAATGTTGAAAAAGAGAGGGAACCTGAAAGCCCCAAGAAGTTGGCAACAAGAGGATGAGGCCGATGAGATTTTGGAATAATGATAGAAACTAAAGTAAAATTTTAATTCTGTAATGTGTAACAGTCAGTTAAAATCTGTCATGGTCTAATTTCCTTCTCTTATCCCAAACCTTCAATAAAAATATGCTACAGACACATACACATGTGCATGTGAAAATAAAATAGGAAGAGTAATTTTTTTGCAATTTGTGCTATATTTTTTTTCAGAGAGTAAGTTGGTAAGTTTCCTGTAGTCATAAAAATTCTGAAATAGGAAGGAAATTAACTTATATTGTATTATCTGTATAAACAAATACAAAGCCAAACTAGTTAGAAAAAATATGATATGATTGTAGAACAGCTTTCAGTTCTTTCCAAGAATAGATCTCAACCACAAACAAGATTATTATTAACATTAAGTATTTATGTGGCACTTTGCCTGTGGAGTGCTTTGCTTTATTTTAGAAGCTTCAGTTTTCTATGAGTGAATGTGGAGTTTCTGGAACCAGCCCCCTAGGGACTAGTTCTTTTACATCCTGTATCTGGACCTTTCTAGAAAATTAATTTCTTTGAAAGAAATGGCTTTCTAAATCATAGCAGTATTATGTTGACCATAGTCTGTCTTTTTTTCCTTAAGAGACTTATTCTTTCCTATTTATGAGTATTTTAAGACAAGAGAACGTTAGTCACTCAGTCATGTCTGACTCTCTGCGACGCTGTAGACTGTAGCCTGCCAGGCTCCTCTGTCCATGGAATTCTCCAGGCAAGAATGCTGGAGTGGGTAGCCATGCCCTTCTCCAGGGAATCTTCCTAACCCAGGGATTGAATCTGGGTCTCCCACATTGCAGGCAACTCTTTACTGTCTAAGTCACCAGGGAAGCCCAAGCCGTCAGGGAAGGCAAGAGAGTCGGGGGAATAAATCTTAAGGAAAAGGATTGATTGTTACCAGCTGTCACTAACTAAGGAAATCAGTCAAGCCTTTGTGTCATAAATCCTAATTACTGGCCTTGCTGTATTTTTGTTCATTTCAGTATTAAACCAGTTTGTTTTATTCTTGAAGGCCCTGATATCTTTGTCAAATCTGTTCATTTGTAGTCCACCTCACCTTTACAGATGAGTGATAATTTGACTGTTTCATATTACTTTTATTTTAGTGGGATCATTTGAAAGTTTAGTCAAAATATTTGACATTTCACATTCATCTTAGTTTCTTCACATCAGTTGGATTCTTGTACTCTCTCAAGTAGTGATTTTGAAGGCTATGAATTCTAGCATACTTTTTAAAGAAAAATACAGTCAGTAACTTCAGTTTATGGATTTTTGACTTTGTGGTTTCTTTGGTGAAGGTATATACAGTAAGAAAGGAAACAGTTTTCCAAAAACGGTATTCCCATAGATGTTCTGAAATTCAGTTTTGAAAGTGTTCTTGTGGGCTATGAAATATGTTTAGTCTATCAAACAGAGATTATATTCTTTATTAAAGGTAAAAAGGTTACTACAGTAGTAATTTTAAAAAACCACAGTGCTAAAAGCCTTTTCAGATCCTCAAACCAGATTGGGCATGTACATTTTATAGAACTTTTTTTGAACGTGGAGAAAACTTTGTTTCTCTCTTTTCTCTAGAGAAAAGAATAGTTCTCATCAAAAGTCATCTTTAAAAAGTTTCACTATCAAATATAAGGGCTGTTTAACACTTAAATTACCATCTATGGTTATATAGTAGTAATATTAGTCACTCAGTTGTGTCTGACTCTGCGATCCCACGGACTGTAGCCTGCCAGGCTCCTATGTCCATGGGATTCTCCAGGCAAAAATACTGAAGTGTACAAAGGAAACTATAAGCAAGGTGAAAAGACAGCCCTCAGATTGGGAGAAAAGAATAGCAAATGAAGCAACAGACAAAGGATTAATCTCAAAAATATACAAGCAACTCCTGCAGCTCAATTCCAGGAAAATAAATAACCCAATCAAAAAATGGGCCAAAGAACTAAACAGACATTTCTCCAAAGAAGACATACAGATGGCTAACAAACACATGAAAAGATGCTCAACATCACTCATTATCAGAGAAATGCAAATCAAAACCACAATGAGGTACCGTTACACGCCAGTCAGGATGGCTGCTATCCAAAAGTCTACAAGCAATAAATGCTGGAGAGGGTGTGGAGAAAAGGGAACCCTCTTATACTGTTGGTGGGAATGCAAACTAGTACAGCTGCTATGGAGAACAGTGTGGAGATTTCTTAAAAAACTGGAAATAGAACTGCCGTATGACCCAGAAATCCCACTTCTGGGCATACACACCGAGGAAACCAGATCTGAAAGAGACACGTGCACCCCAGTGTTCATTGCAGCACTGTTTATAATAGCCAAGGACATGGAAGCAACCTAGATGCCCATCAGCAGACAAATGGGTAAGGAAGCTGTGGTACATATACACCATGGAATATTACTCAGCCGTTAAAAAGAATATATTTGAATCAGTTCTAATGAGATGGATGAAACTGGAGCCCATTATACAGAGTGAAGTAAGCCAGAAAGATAAAGACCAATACAGTATACTAACACATATATATGGAATTTAGAAAGATGGTAACGATAACCCTATATGCAAAACAGAAAAAGAGACACAGATGTACAGAACAGACTTTTGGACTCTGTGGGAGAAGGCGAGGGTGGGATGTTTCGAGAGAACAGCATCGAAACATGTATATTATCTAGGGTGAAACAGATCACCAGCCCAGGTTGGATGCATGAGACAAGTGCTCAGGGCTGGTGCACTGGGAAGACCCAGAGGGATGGGATGGAGAGGGAGGTGGGAGGGGGGATCGGGATGGGGAATACATGTAAATCCATGGCTGATTTATGTCAATGTATGACCAAAACCACTACAATATTGTAAAGTAATTAGCCTCCAACTAATAAATAAATGGGAAAAAAAAAATACTGAAGTGGGCTGCCATTCCCTTCTCCAGGGGATGTTTTTGACCCAGAGATCAAACCTGGGTCTCCTATGTTGCAGGCAGATTCTTTACTGTTTGAGCTACAGGGAAGACCCTTATGGTTTTATAACATCCATTTTTTTATTATAACACTGAAGTAAAGAAGGATTTGACCCAGTATCAATACAGTATTTTAAAATTCAGTTTTCTTGTCCGATATGTTTTGGTTTAAAAGATGCTTGCTCCTTGGAAGAAAAGTCATGACCAACCTAGACAGCATATTAAAAAGCAGAGACGTTACCTTACCAACAAAGGTCCGTCTAGTCAAAGCTATGGTTTTTCCAGTAGTCATGTATGGATGTGAGAGTTGGACTATAAAGAAAGCTCAGCACTAAAGAATTGATGCTTTTGAACTGTGATGTTGGAGAACACTCTTGAGAGTCCCTTGGACTGCAAGGAGATCCAACCAGTCCATCTTAAAGGAAATCAGTCCTGAATATTCATTGGAAGCACTGAGGCTGAAGCCGAAACTCCAATACTTTGGCCACCTGATTCGAAGAACTGACTCATCTGAAAAGACCCTGATGCTGGGAAAGATTGAAGAAGGGAGGAGAAGGGGACGACAGAGGATGAGATGGTTGGATGGCATCACCGACTCAATGGATATGAGTTTGAGTAGACTCCAGGAGTTGGTGATAGACAGGGAAACCTGGCATGCTGCAGTCCATGGTGTCGCAAAGAGTCGGACAGGACTGAGGGACTGAACTGAACTGATGTTTTGGTTTTTTTCTGGTAACATTATTTTACCCAAACCTCCCAATTAATATCTACCCAGTGTCTGTGTTTTATTTTTATTTGTGTTCTTAGTATCTAGCACAATACCTAGCACATGGCAGGTATTCAGTAAATGTTTGACAGATCTTTAACTTGGCCTATTGTAGCCTTTGAATCAAAAGCTGTCTAACATGGTTAGTTAAGTGATCTCTTGTTAGCTGTAAAAGAGCTACCTCTGTTATATTCAAACTAGTAATGTCATCATCTTCTGTTTTTCAGAATCCTCATTCTTCATTTGAAACGATACAGCTTCAATGTTGCTCTCTCACTTAACAACAAGATTGGGCAGCAAGTCATCATTCCAAGATACCTGACCCTCTCATCTCATTGCACTGAAAATACGAAACCACCCTTTAACCTTGGTTGGAGTGCACAGATGGCAGTGTAAGTCCTTGAGAATTTCTTTCCCTTTTGAAGTAGAAAGACTTTACTGTCTGATCAGAAGAATGACTGAGTTAGATAACACGACTCCAGGTAAAATCATACCAACAAGGAGATTTTAATTTTGCTTTATTTGAGGATTCTGTGCTAAATTACTATGTGATTTCAGTAATTGAAAAAATGCTTTAATAATAACTTTCAATGTGCATTAATTGCCTTTCATAATAAATTACCTTTTTAGGGAGTACTCCTTCCTCTTTTAGATCACTGGAAGACAGTTTTATACATTTGATGAATACAAACCAAATTTGCATGGTCTTAAGAGTCCCCTGAACACTAAAAATACCAATTCCTGTGTTTGTTCCCTAGAAGTTCTGTTTCAGCAAAGCTGATATAGGACTGGGGAATCAGTACTTTTATTTTTATTTTTATTATTTTGGAATCAGTATTTTTAATGAATGCCTTTGCTGACTCTTTAGAGTATGCAAACTTAAGAAACAGTATATTAAATATTATGCTGGGACCTTTAAAATAGATTATGTCTTCATAAAAGTATTATTACAGTTTGAGCAAAGAACTTCAATGGTGCCTTAAGATTTTTCCATGAGAAAAGAAGTAACTTCTTATTTTATCATCATGAATCCTGGGAAAACCTTAAGATTTCTTCAGATGTTGCTTTTGCCTCTGCATACTTGCATTACTTTGAGCCATGTGTTGTAGTTCCATTTTATACTTACACACTAAGTGATAAACATTTGCTAAAATGAATTGATGAAGTTTTGTAAAAATTATTTCCTTTTTGGATTAATAATTGAAATATATTCTACATCATATAGGTTTACACTGAACGCCTTACTGAGTCAGTAACATGTCATTGTTTCTGGATATTCTCTTACGGCCTTTCTTTAGAATGGATGTTTTTGCTTGATGCAAACTGCCCTCTACTGGTAGAGCTAGTACTCTTTCTGGCAATATTACCATTTCATACCATTAGCCAAGGCTCTTTACGATCACAGGCCTGAAACTGGGCTCTCTGACTGTACAATTTTTAATACCTTTGAGACTTTGGACAAATTCCTTGACCTGTCTGTAGGGAAAATAACAGAGTAGTTGTGAGCTTTAAATGAGGTAATACGTATGAGTTTTTATTATAGTGCCTAACATCTAGTAAGTCCTCAATAAATGAGAGCTGTTACTATTTTATTGCTTAAAAGAACTGAGACAAAGAGAATTTCCCAAGTTGTTCTTTTCCTGTTGTATCAGTATTTGACTTCATTTCCAATGTTGTTTATTTAGATCATTAGATAAGGCAAAGCCTAGAGAAAGTGTTTTGTTTTCTCTTTTGGCCTCTATTATTAGTTGAAAAATATAATTGTTTGCTTTTCAAGAGGATATATAAAGGACTGTAACACAGGATAATTCATTTTATAAGTTAAGTGTGTATTTTTTTAGTAATGTAATTATATACATTATATATTTTCTAATTTTCTGATAGTTCTAGACCATTGAAAGCCTCTCAAATGGTGAATTCCTGCATCACCAGCCCTTCTACACCTTCAAAGTGAGTTATATTTCTTGTGTACCCAAAATTTGTATTTTTAAGGATTTGGCTTACCCTAATTTCCAAGATTATCCTCTCCCCTTTTCATATTGTTTCTCTTTTTGCATGATAACTGCTCTGCATTACTATATTTTGAAATTTTCCTAAATCTGCTTTGAACTGTAAGTAGGGTATATCAAGTTTTAACACTGAAGCTAGTTCTGATGATCCTCTCAAAATTTTGCTTTAAAACTTCTTAGATCATCTTTTGTATGTAATATTTTCATCCTACAACTCTAGAAATTGACTGATGACAAAGAATTTTAAGGATTTAAGGGTTAAAGTAACCCTTACTGGTATAAAAAGCACCATTCTTCAAATACATGCATGGAGATCTCAAAATATCTTTTCACATGTTGCTAACTAGTGTGGGACTTCTTATCTTAGACACTGAACTGGAGCCATTCTGAAAGGGGACAGGAAAACAAATGCATACTAGAATGTAGCTATTCTACAAATATTTTATATATTTTTGCTTCAGACCAGAAGTTTATCCAAGAAGGAGACAAATGCTATTTTTTTTAATATACCTCCTCTATGATTTGACTAGAACTACAGTTCCTGATTAGACATTTCTAAATGACTTGGTTGTCATTTGACTTTAAAACTAGTTTTTCTAAAGATTTGATGTCCCAAAGTACTTTTAGAAAAGAGACACTTTTGTTGTTTAAGGGCTTTTGGGGGGCTTATATAACCATAAAATGACATTTGGGAACTGCTATTTTCTTTTCCTCCTGTTAATTATTTTTCAGTGCAATTAGAACCAGATGACTAACTGACTAGAAATCTGACATGGTACCGATATGAATACTCTTGCCCGTTCTCAAGATACAAATGAGCAATACCACTTGGCTGCTTAGAAAGTGAGCAAGTGATGCCTTTACAGGATGAATATTTTTCCTTACTACAGGCAAGCTGCCTTCTGTGAATATAGTAACTATTAATGGAATGCACTCTTTATGTACCAAATCACTATAGTTTCAAGAAAGAGATGGTTTCATTGGGCATCATTATACTTGGCATGGTCAATCTGTTCTCCAGGGTCTTACTGGTATGAGAATTTGAGAGTTGCTCAATAAAGATGATTAGGCCCTAGAAGACCTGTCATGCCGATCAAACTTAAAAGAGGCTGAATTATAAACCAAAATACCATTGGTTCTTCTGTAATATTCTTTGTCACATTTGACCCTGGTATATTAGTAGCCAGGTGTCACCCTCCTTCAGCAAAGAATCTACATAGATAAATAAATAAACGGTATGTTCAGTTTTGCTTGGTGAGCATATAATCAGAAATGAAGAATTAAGATGGCTAATTGGCTTTTTCGAAGTTATATTAAAAACTCTTTTTAAATACATATTGGGAGGCTATTCAAGTGTTCAGGCTGAAGTGCAGTGATATCCTGACTGCTCTCAGCCAAAGACCATGGTTGGGCTTATCGCTGACCACTTGCCTCTTTTCTTTGATCTACATTGCTGCGCATCCTCCTGGTTTCCACTGTGGCCTCTTGTTTCTTGATGCCATCATTCTATGTTTATTTATAGTTTTCACATTTAGATTATTGCATTTTCTAACTTCCATTTGACATTTTTTTTTAGTATAGCATATGAATTTATGTTAACCTTCATCAAAGAAAGTTTGTGCTTTTTTACCTTTACCACTTTTTCCTTTAGTTTATTTTTGGCTCACTTAGAAGACAACACAGTAACACCTTACTTATCTAGTATCATTGAAAAATATTATTTCATATTCCAAATAAATGAATTTTTATATGATTGAAGCTTGCCTTTTAAAACATTGCCTTTTTAATTTTAATCTTTAAAATGTTTTAACCATTTTAGATGGTTATACCTCTGTAACCTTGCAGAATTCCTTATATTATTAAATGAAATACACTGAAGATAATTTAAATATATTGTAATGACTTAGAACCAGCATTGTAAGTATCCATTATTACACTGTGTATTAATATGGTAATGCCCTCAGAGGCTCTTAAGTCTTATGAGACAGTTTGCCTTTACATTAAATTACTTTATAGTTCTTTATTGTCCTTTTGGTGGTTATTCTCTCTCATTTCTTAGCTCTCATTTCTTGATGAACTTGCTACATTATTTTGTTCACCATTTCCTGGGGAAGAAGGGTCCCTGTTTAAAGAGTAAAGTTCATTAGCTTTGAAACTACTACCTTCCTCAGAAGCTTTTTTTTTCACCTTTTGAGTCTCTCTGTTCTAGAAGGTAGAGGTTGCCAGAAGTTGGACGTGCATATAAATGGATAAGTGGAATGTTACTGTTAATTTCAAAGTACATGGATCATAATTTAAAAGAGCAAAAATTAGTCCTCATACACTCTGTTGTCAAAAACATATATTCATTGCTATGTCTGCATGCATTCTAGTAGAGTACTTGCTTTATAAAGACAGTGACAATCTTCTTTGGAGTTGATCATTAAAAGAAAAAAGGCACGAAGTGATTGGTTTACTGATAATATAAAATAGCATAAGAGTTGTCTTATTTTCAAAGCATGGCTCTTTTGGAGTAGGGCAAAGGTAATGCTTAAATATACCTCTTTTGATATTTTTTTTCTCTGTTAAATCATTCTCCATAATGGAAAAACTTTTTGTTTTATTTTGATATTTATACTTCAAAGAAATAACAAGGACAGATATTTACTTATCACTTACATAGAGTTGTCTGTTTGTTTGTTTCTCTTAAATTATAGGAATTTCACCTTCAAATCCAAGACCTCCTTAGCTTTATGCCTTGATTCAGACAGTGAAGATGAGCTTAAACGCTCTGTGGCCCTTAGCCAGAGACTTTGTGAAATGTCAGGCAGTGAACAGCAGCAGGAGGACCTGGAAAAAGTGAGTGATTTCTTATCAAAGTATCTGGCTGTATAAACAAATGCCTTTCATAAGCAACATGGGCAAACTTAATAAATACATATAATAGATCATAAATTTAATGCACCTGTTCAAACACTGATTTTAAGAGTGTGCTGTTTGTAGCTACAAAACTTGTGTGTTTAAATGTGGATTGAGACTTTTTTAAAATTGAGGTGTAATTGACATAAAACATGAGATTAGTTTCAACTGTATAACATGATGATATATTTGTGTATAGTTATTGCAAAATGATCACCACAAGAAATCTATTTAACATTATCACCATACTTATTTACCAAAAAAATTTTTTTTCTTGTGAGTGAGGACTTTTCAGATGTACTTAGCAACTCTCAAATATGCAATACAATATTAGTAACTGTAAATTACATCCCCATGACTTATTTTATAACTGGAAATTTGTACTTTTTTGCCCCTCACCGATTTCATTGACTCCCTAGTCCTCACCTCTGGCAGCCACCGTCTGTTCTCTGTATCTGTGGGCTTATTTCATTCTTTTTCAGTTTTTTCATGGTTGAATAATGTTCCATCGTGTGTGTGCATGCACACTTACACACACACTCATTTCACATCTTCTTTATCCATTCATCCATCAGTAGAAACTTACGTTGCTTCCAAGATAGATACTTTAAGAAATGAAAGTTGTTGTAAATAAATAGCTTCCTCCTATTAATATTAATCTTCAGAGCTACTTTTACATGTGCTGTGTGTGCTTAATCACTCATTCATGTCCAACTCTTTACAACCCCCTTGGACTGTAGCCTGCCTGGCTCCTCTGTCCATGGGTAATCTCCAGGCAAGAATACTGGAGTGGGTTGCCATGCCCTCCTCCAGAGGATCTTCCCAACCCAGGGATTGAACCCAGGTCTCCCGCATTACAGGCAGATTCTTTACCATCTGAGCCACCAGGTCCTCAAATAATTAATTGCATTATTTTGATACTAATTATTAATATGAGGGAACCATAGTAAATATTTTAACATCAAAGGCCAACTAGGTAATCTAAGTTTGATGGGTGTGAAGGCACAACTTATAGCATCTTCAGTCTTGACACATAATAATGATAGTTAACATTTTTGAAGATATAATCTTTTCTAGGAGTTTGCATCATCTCATGCAACTGATTTTAAACCTCATTTCAGTAAAATAGCAATTATTTCAGTAGTTATTTTTTGTTCAGACTGTTTCCTGTCTTTAAAGCTAGAGGTAGTTTGTGGTTGCTGACCTTGAGTGAGAAATGACAAAGTGAAAAATTCTCCCAGAAATCAGAGAAATTTATACAGAAAATAGCTTCTAAATATTTACAAAATCTTTATAGTTTTTATCTTTTTCATCTATTCAGAAAAAAGGAATGAGAGCTACCCACATTTTAAAAAGAATGTTAGGTTTAGTGACAGAATATTTACAGTGTGATCCATGTATACCTGGAAAAAATACACCAGAAACACTTAAATATCTCTGAGTGGTAGATTTTGAATGAAATTATTTTTATGTATTTTCCAAATGTATACAAAGAGTGTACTTAACATTTGTTATAATCAAGCAAGTGAACATGTATCTTTATGTAGTTAGTACATAAAGAATTAAAAGAAAATTAGGCTTCCCACTGAGTTTATTTATTGGTTATTAGTTGGTAAATAACCCAAAGCATCAAAGAAAGGAAACTTTGGGAATTCCCTGGCAGATGAGTGGTTAGGTTTCCACGCTTCCATTGCAGAGGGCTTGGAACTAAGATCCCACATGCCACATGGCACAGCCAGAAAAAGAAAAAAGAAAGGAAACTTTAGAAATAAACATATCACTTTAAACTCTAGGATTGCTGTATTTGTAGGCATTCTATTTTCTTCTAAAAGCAGTCCTGTTCTTCAGGATTCAAAATCATGCAGAATGGAACCTGAGAAGTCTGAATTGGAACACTCGGGATTTGACGGAATGAGTGAAGAGGAGCTTCTAGCAGCTGTTTTAGAGATAAGTAAGAGAGAAGCTTCACCATCTCTCAGTCATGAAGATGATGATAAACCAACCAGCAGCCCTGATACCGGATTTGCAGAAGATGATATTCAAGAAATGCCTGAAAATCCAGACTCTGTGGAAACTGAGAAGCCGAAGACAATCACAGAGCCTGGTAGGTTTAACAAAGATAAACACCTGTTAAATAAGACAGAACTGTTTTAAAAGCTTTGTAATAGCAAATGACTTCCACATAATGGGAGGTGAGATGGATCTGTATAATGGAGCTATAATATTTTTATGCTCTTTCTCTTTTTTTCTAACAGAAATGAGAAGTGAATATTGTGAGTTAGTGTCAGAGGCTAGTGGTAGAGTATTCCTTGTCCCTTTAGGTGTCAGTTCAGTCGCTCAGTCATATCCAACTCTTTGTGACCCCATGAACTGCAGCACACCAGGCCTCCCTGTCCATCACCAACTCCCGGAGTCCACCCAAACCCATGTCCATTGAGTCAGTGATGCCATCTGACCATTCATCCTCTGTCGTCCCCTTCTCCTCCTGCCCTCAATCTTTCCCAGCATCAGGGTCTTTTCAGATGAGTCAGCTCTTTGCATCAAATGGCCAAAGTATTGGAGTTGCAGCTTCAAAATCAGTCCTACCAATGGACACCCAGGACTGATCTCCTTTAGGATGGACTGGTTGGATCTCCTGGCAGTCCAAGGGACTCTGAAGAGTTTCTCCAACACCACAGTTCAGAAGCATCAGTTCTTTAGCCCTGAGATTTCTTTATAGTCCAACTCTTACATCCATACATGACCACTGGGAAAACCATAGCCTTGACTAGATGGACCTCTGTTGACAAAGTAATGTCTCTGCTTTTTAATATGCTCTCTAGGTTGGTCATAACTTTTTTTCCAAGGAGTTAAGTGTCTTTTAATTTCATGGCTGCAGTCACCATCTGCAGTGATTTTAGAGCCCAGAAAAATAAAATCAGCCATTGTTTCCACTGTTTCCCCATCTATTTGCCATGAAGTGATGGGACTGGATGCCATGATCTTAGTTTTCTGAATGTTGAGCTTTAAGCCAACTTTTTCACTCTCCTCTTCCACTTTCATCAAGAGACTCTTTAGTTCTTCTTCACTTTCTGCCATAAGGGTGGTGTCATCTGCATATCTGAGGTTATTTGTATTTCTCCCGGCCATCTTGATTCCAGCTTGTGCTTCTTCTAGCCCAGCGTTTCTCATAATGTACTCTGCATAGAAGTTAAATAAGCAGGGTGACAGTATACAGCCTTGACGTACTCCTTGTGCTATATGGAACCAGTCTGTTGTTCCATGTCCAGTTCTAACTGTTGCTTCCTGACCTGCATACAGGTTTCTCAAGAGGCAGGTCAGGTGGTCTGGTATTCCCATCTCTTTCAGAATTTTCCACAGTTTATTGTGATCCACACAGTCAAAGGCTTTGGCATAGTCAGTAAAGCAGAAATAGATGTTTTTCCAGACCTCTCTTGCTTTTTTGGTGATCCAGCAGTTATAGGCGTACATCAAAAGAAAAGTTGGTATTCCTGCATTTAAAAGTTGTCTGTGTCAATTTTTGGTCACTTTTTTCTTACCACTTCTCTCAGAAATTTGTGTAATTCTTTCTTCATTTTTTCATATCTGAACTTTTACCAAGTTTTAATGTATAAATCAAGTTCTCCATTCTTCTTTGGGTTCATCCCTTAAAAATGGTGGAAAGACCACTGAACTAAGAGAGCAGGTCTTGGGTGTCTAGCCTTAGCTATACCACCTACTAGTTAAAAATTTTTAGATAAATGATTTAACCCCTTGATAGTTTTCTTATCTCTATGGGCAATCTATGACACGTACTTCAGATGGTTGGGGTAAAATGTTAAATAATACATAAGTGTTATGTTAAGTGCTATACAGATACAAATATTTTTGTGGTAATTATTACTCACATTTTGTTGTTTCTCAAGCTGTCACTGCAAACAACAGAATTGAACCTCCTTGCCTTGCGCTATGGGTGTCTTAAGATTTTTAAGTAAAAACTTTTCACTGCCTCTCCTCTGGCCATCTCTGACTTTTTTCTACTGGTACTAAATACTAAGGATTTAGTATCTATATCTATATATCTAGCTAATGTGTTTCAGTATGTCAAGCCTAGGATTTTGAAAGTGAAGGCAATACTAGTATATGATAGAATTATTTTATTTATTCTTGGGGTTGTTAGGGCCTTGTCAGTTTTGAATTTTATATACAAGCAAAATAATTAGTATGCCTTCAATTTAACTGGAAACAAAAAGCTTACGATTTTTGTGTATGGATGTTTTCTTTTTTTTTAACATGTTTTTTATCTCTTGATGGTAAGTTTTTATCTCTTGATGGTAAGTATCCTTATGAAGTCTCCTTCTCTTACTAAACTAACAATCACTGCCTTTGGAAGTGAATCCTAGATATTAGATCATTTCATCAGTAAGGATGTCAGTATCACTAGAAGATAAGAACTCTTTTCAAAATAACATATCCTCCATATCATTATCATACTTTAAAAATTAATAATAATTCTAAGGAATGATCAAATATGATCAAACCCTCCATAAGGTTTTTATTTTTTAAATTTTAAGCCCAGAGAGAAGTTGAAAAATAAAATATACACTTTTATACCCATCACCTAGATTCATTAACATTTTGTTACTTTCTTTTTCCTCTCCCTTCCATACCGCCCCCATGTGTATGTGTAGTTGTGCAACAGTTACCCCAAAATTAGTGCTTTAAAGCAGCTATTTTAATATGTCATAATTCTATAGATTGACTGGTCTTAGATGGTAGTTCTTCTTCTCCCTGTATTGCTGGCTGGGCTTTGACTGGGCTGTAACACTCGAGATGGCTCACCTTGGCATCTTGGTGGTATTGATGAGAAGGGTCAGCTGGGATGCCTAGATAGCCTCTCTGTTCTTCTGGTCCCCTTTCCCTGGCCATCTCTCTCCTCCTCTTCTCTTCATCTTTTCCATCTCTTCATATAATCTCAGGGACTCTCCCTTTCCATGTGGTCTCTTCAGCATGGTAGCCAGACGTCTTACATGGTAGCTCAGGGCTGTCCAAAACACAAAAGGGGCATCTGCCAGGTCTTCTTAATGTATGAAGTGAAGTCTCTCAGTCATGTCTGATTCTCTGCAGCCCCATGGACTGTAGTCTACCAGGCTCCTCTGTCCATGGGATTTTCTAGGTAAGAGTACTGGATTGGGTTGCCATTTCCTTCTCCAGGGGATCTTCCTGACCCAGGGATCGAACCCCAGTCTCCCACATTGCAGGCAGATGCTTTACCCTCTAAGCCACCAGGGAAGCCCTTAATGTATAGGCTCAAAATTAGGACAGAATCAGTTCTGTCACATTTTCTTAAAACACTCACAGGATCTGCAAGTGTTCACTGTGAGTTGGACTACACAGAGTTATAATACCTATATGCATGGTTCATTGGATGCCATCTTTGGAGAATGAGCATGCACACTCTTCTTTTTTAATAGAACTATTTGAAATTGCAAGTATCATAACAGTTTACCCTGAAACACTTCAACCTGACTCTCCTAAATACATGGAAATTTTCCTATGTAACAGTTAGCATACCTCAGAATGTTAAGAGTGATTCCATATATAATTCCATAGAGAGCCCACATACACATTTTCCCATTTATCTGTAACATATTTTTTACCCTTAAAAAAAAAACTCAAACCCAAAGTTTACCCACTGCATTTGGTTGTTAGGTCCCTTTAGTCTCTAGTCAAGGTCAATTTTCCTTTGAAAAATTCCCATTATGAATTGTCCTACTATTCTTTAACAGCTGTTTTGGATTTTTCCCCCCATACCCTGAAATTTCAGAGTGTGGAGATGGGATCATTTTTCTCCTTGTTGCAAATTACCAATTCCAACTGCTTGTCTCCTTTCATCCTACAAAAATCCCTGTTCATTTGAACTATGTAACTTCAGACTTTGCCATATTATTTCTTTCTATAGCTATCTTTTACCTTCCAGTCATTCTGTTCCCATCAGCATTCTTAGGACTTTCAGCATCCTCCTAAATGACCCTGTCAACCACCTGGTGTCTCAGTTCCTAACCTCAGTTCCAAAGAACTTTTCTTCTTCCCATCTTGACAACTGACGAAACTCAAACCAGTAGTTCTCAAAGTATGTCTCCAGGCCATCAGTATCATGTAGGAACTTGCTGGAAATGCCATTCTTGACCCCCACCCCTCACCTAATGAATAAGAAACTCTGGATGGTGGGGTTAGCATTCTGTCTTTTGATTCCAGTTGATTCTGATGCTAAAGCTTGAGAACTACCTCCCTAGATTTTGTCATCATCAGTAACTGTATCACCTTTGAAATACTAATTTCAAATATCTTTCCTTAACCCTTTTCTCGCCCTAGCTCAAGTAATGTCATTCTTTTATTCTGTTTTATTTCTTGCCAGAGAATGTTCAAATTACCACACAGTTGCACTCATTTCACATGTTAGCAAAGTAATGCTCAAAATTCTCCAAGCTAGGCTTCAACAGTACATGAACTGAGAACTTCCAGATGTTCAAACTGGATTTAGAGAAGGCAGAGGAACCAGAGATCAAATTGCCAACATCTGTTGAATCGTAGAAAAAGCAAGAGAATTCCAGAAAAATATCTGCTTCGTTGACTACACTAAAGCCTTTGACTGTGGATCACAACAAACTGTGGAAAATTCTTCAAGAGATAGGAATACCAGACCACCTTACCTGCCTCCTGTGGAACCTGTATTCAGGTCAAGAAGCAACAGTTAGAACCAGACATGGAACAACGGACTGGTTCCAAATTGGGAAGAGTACATCAAGGCTGTATTGTATATTGTCACCCTGCTTATTTAACTTCTATGCAGAGTACATCATGCAAAATGCCAGACTGGATAAAGCACAAGCTAGAATCAAGATTGCCGGGAGAAATATCAATAACCTCAGATATGCAGGTGATAACACCCTTATGGCAGAAAGCAGAGAGGAGCTAAAGACCCTTGAAAGTGAAAAAGGAGAGTGAAAAAGTTAGCTTAAAACTCAACATTCAGAAAACTAAGATCATGGCTTCTGGTCCCATCTCTTCATGGCAAATAGATGGGGAAATAGTGGAAACAGGGACAGCCTTTATTTTCTTGGG